ATAATAATAATAATAATAATAATAATAATAATAATAATAATAATAATAATCGTAATCATCCTCATCGCCGTGGACGATCGTTACACTTCGCAAACACGTGTATAGATCTCGTTAGTCATCATTCGTCGATTAAATTGCTAAGTTTTATTCTCTATTCGGCGTCGTGTCCTCCGTTAAACGTCATCCTCCTGAAACGCGGAATTCTCAAGCGCCTTCCGTGAACGCACACACGTGTATATTATTTATACACCGTCCTTCCTTGCCAACGAAACGATCGATATACGGAATAAATTAGGCGCTAAATAAATAGAACGGTTCGCTACGGTATCTTTATTAGGTTCGTCCATACTCGCTGCGCGTTTTTCTAGTCTTCCGTTCGTTCTCCGTGCGCGGATGAAACCGCGACCCACGTCATCACCGCCGAAGAATCGCCCCGTATCGGTCGCCTTCTGCTCGCGTTTCGCGTCGGATTAGGATTGTCTGTGTTCCTCGACAGAGGGAAAGGACACGAGACCAACGATCACAAGGAACACTTTGTTTGTGGTTCGGAAGCTTCTCGTTTCCGGGTTCCTTTGTTTCCTTTTCGTGCAGCTAAACAAGCACGGCCGTTTTCGCCGGCACGTGTGTGCCATTTAATAATAGGGTCAGTACTAAAGCAGCAGCCTCCTGGCCGCGCGGTGATTCTAAATTACAAATATATATAATATACATATTTATGTATATATGTATATATACATATATATTTATGTAATGTGTATATTTATAAAATTTGACTGAACGTTCTTGATCGAGCTATCGTGTATTCCTTTTTTTTTTTTTTTGTTTATTATTATTATTATTTTTCGTGCATCTCTTGCGCGCACTCACTCTCGTTCTCTCTCAGAAGACACACGTAATCTTGCACGCTCGCATTCTCACTTTCGTTTTCACCCTCGAACCTCGCGTTCGCTCTTTTCAGGGATCCCGGTTTTTCATCGATTACACCTCGACGTTCCGTGTTTCGTTTCGTATCTCCACTATGCCGTTGTCTCCTGCGTCCTGTCGTGTTTCCCACTCGAAGATTGATACAATAACCATTGATTAATGCAAAAATACTAGTTACATCCCTGTACATGAATAAACCTCGACACGGGCAATCGGTGATAAGCGTGCGTAGTTTATACGCGCGCGCGTGTCCTCGCGTAGGTGTGCCGCCACTGCCACTCAGATTTTTTTCTTTCTTTTTCCTCTCTCATTCTTGGTGGACTCAAAAAAGCGTTACTTTTATTTGTTTCTAAAGTTTCTTTTACTTACAAGGTATTTGGTTTTGCTTCATGCGTCGCACTGACATGCAGTTTCGTTTAGGTATATAAATTATGGTAATGATTCTGTATTATAATTATAATAATAATTATTATTATTAATATTAATATTATCATTGTGTGATCGGTGTACCGCCCGTTAATTCTCTCTTGCTGGTCGCGTAATCAGATACTCGATATCTATTTCTTTCACACACACACGCGCGCACACCCGATTATTCTTTTTTTTTTTTGTTTTCTTTTACCTTCGCTCGTTCTTTCCCATACCTTCGTTTCCTTGTCTGTCTCACTCTCGCTTCACACACCACACGCAAATATATACATACATATATATATACACAAATATATATGTATATATTCATATATCCGAAAAAGCGCGTCAACGTGTTCGGTTTTCTCGTATTTCGTCGGCAGCTTTGAACACGCGGTACAAATCATGGTAAAAAGGAATGATCGTTCTATTCGATAAGGGCTACAAGTCGTTCGCTACCGTGTGACAAAAGCTGAGAAACGGGAGAATCGGGTCGCTGAAAAAGGCAGTATCGAGATCGCCTCGTTCGGACGAACCAAAAAGTAAAATACAAAAAAAAAAAAAAGAAAAGAAGAAGAGAACAAAAAAAAAACAAAGAACAAAGGATACGTATGTATATTCCGTGTACTTTCCAAGCGCTATGCTGCAAGGCAGAAGAAGCGAAAAACTTCCGGCGGGTCGAGTTCTTCCTCTGTCGAGTTCCTCCGTGAGAAAAAAGAAAAAAAAAATAAAGAAGAAAACGAGTAAAGCGAAAAGAAAATTCGTCTACCGACGGCTGGCACCGCCGTTAAAACGCTACTTTAATCTCTAAGGGATTCGTCGTGCGCACCAAAGAAACTAACGGGAGCTAGTGCAGCCTCGAAGCGAATTCGCCGACAAACAGTGAACACGAATGGAACGGGAGAACCGCGGAAACGACATCGCAAAGGGTAAAGGGAAAAACTCGGCGCGCGATCTTCGCCGGGAGCTTTCGCCTGTTGTTTCTGCTTCCGATCGAGCCCGATGAATCTAAAAACCAGCAAGGTGCTCGCGTAACAGCCCATCGTGTGCGCAATAATGCTACTTTGCACGAAGTCACGAGTAGAGCGTGCCCTAACAACGGGGAACGTGTTTGGAAAATGGATACGAGGAAACAGAATGACGAGTAGAAGCTCGAGAAAAGACAATTGGCTAAAAACAGAGATCATGTGAGAGTAACCAAAGGAGATGATGAGACATAGAGAGTGAGAGTTAGAGTGAGTGAGTGTGTGTGTGTGAGAGAGAGAGAGAGAGAGAGAGAGAGAGAGAGAGAGAGAGAGAGCTGGAACAAAGGGGAATAATGGAAAGAAAAAAAAAACGATCGTGATGGTGCGATGGTAGCTACGCAAGATCTACTATATCCGCGACCCTGATCGGTGTGACGACCCTGGCGGTTTTTAGAAGCGCCTCGCTGCGATCAGCGTCAGATTGGCGGCTGACACGAGGGTGGTGACGTTGTTGCTCGTATTCGTGGCTCCCTGGGTGGTGGTGGGTCACTTCTTGCTCTTCTTGGTGGGCGGCTCCTGCGCGTCTTGCGAATCCTCGGTGTCCTCGCTGTCGGTTGGCCGCGGTGTGTTGTTGCTGTCGTCGTTCTCGTTCGTGGCGAGGGAGTCATTCGTGTCTTCGCTGGCCACGGCTACCGTGATCGGCGTAGCCGGTTTGTCCATCGAGTCTTCGGTGAAGGACGTGGTGGTGCTGTTCTCGTCGATGGCCGCCGGATCGATACTGCCCGGCTCTTTGCCGTTCACCACCACTTCCTGATTGCTGTCGTCCGACGGTTCCGTCGCCTCACCGTTGCTGGGCGGATGAGAGTTCCCGTTCTCTGTCGTGCCCGGGATCCCGTCGAGAAGCTCTGGCTTCAGCTCGGACGCCACGTAGTGGGTCCATAACGCCAGCTCTACCCTGTGAGGGCTCCATGTTTTGCCGTTTGACGCTGAAACGAACCAATCGAACCACCGCGTTTAGATTATTAATCGATCGGGAAATTTCAAGGAAGAATCGCCAGGCCGACGAGGGATCAGCTTTACTCACTTTGTTTGTTCAACCTCTCGACAGTGTTTTGAATGTGCTGGACAAAGTTGAGGTACTCCTTGGTGGTATAGTCGATGCCCTCGATTTCCGGTATTGCCATCAGGCATTCGTCCGCCATAAACGGGGCATTCTCCGGCGACGCTGCCGCCAAGAGGGCCGATGCCATCGTGGTGCCTACTCCTTTCAAATTCGACAGGGCAGTAATCGCCTGTTCGAGATTCGGAAGCTTTTTGAACGCCTTTTTCGTCTCCGCCATTACCGCGCGGGGTGTGTTCACTTTAACCAGATAGTTCAGCTGAGGGTAGAATTTGCCGCGCTGGAAACAATAAGGCAGAGTAATTTACACATCGAGTAGAAACGAACATGAATAAGAGTACGGGCCGATCGACGGGACTCACTGTTTGCTTCCACTTCATCGTTTGCACCAGCTCTTCGTGATTGAGGTGCGCGTCCTTGCCGCGTGACTTGATCTTCTTTGGCAGCTCATTCTGATACCTGCGAACAGGAAAAAATGTCGCCGGTCGGTAAGCAACGGAGATCGGTGGCGTGTGCAGGGTGCGCAAGATCACGGCTACTCGGATCGATGACGCAACCGCGGCAGAGCAGAGTGCAGGAAACGGAATACTGATTAAAAATGCAGCCGCAAGAAGTGGTTTTCCACCTACTGACAATCACGCGGGACGCTCGACGCGGCTAAAAGGGTACGCGAGCCAAATCGGGGACGTGTTCTCCAACTTTTCTGATCGCATCGATCGCATTACCGAAACCACGATCGACTGTTTCTCCCTTGCGATTCTCGAAATTTTCGATTGTTCGTCACACGGAGAAATTGATCGAACGCTCGATGGTCCCAGGACGAAATGTTAACTTTGTAGAAATAAAAGAGCGGTACATTCGTTTCGAGCGTGTTATTCTTAAAAACTCGAAACCCCTTTGGTTCAACGTTTCCTTTCTTCCCTCTCCTTGTTCGTATCCCATTATTCGGGTCATCGACACGGGACAAGTTGTCCGTTCCACGGAGCGAACGCTGCATCCGTGAACAGAAGCCGAGGCGCCGCGAGCGCGAGAAAGAGAGCCGCGGTTCTCGCGTGGTTTTATTGTAGGTACTTTCGAAGGACGTTAGGATCAGCTGTTTGCCCGTAGAGCTAAACTTGGTTGCGGATAGTTCGTACGTATTTCATTCACATAATACGACAGACACGTGTTCCGCTGATTTACGATCGCTCGTATTTGTCTTCGGAATGAACAGCGCGACGTTGCGTGTAACCAATGATACGATTAGCGTCGTTATTACGTACCTCGAAATAATTAGGGGATCGCGTTTCGGGACGGTTACGGCCGACGAACTATCCGCGTGCAAAGTCGCGAGCGCGTTTCAAGTATTTCTTTCATCTTAGCACTCAGACCAATTCTAATTTGTCGTTGGTTCGATACAATGTACAAATTGTATCCAACGCATGGTGCAAGTGAGTGCGTGCGTGTATCACTGAAGATTACAAGATCTTTTTGTAAGGTTTTTTCGGAATTTCTTATAGCGAAATTAAAAAAACACAGCGCTATCAAATTTGTACTATATATTTATTCATGTATATTGCAATATCAATGCACGATACGATATCAATGCGTGATACGATATCATTGCATGTTAATCTGTAGATGGATGGCTATCGCAGGAACTAGGATTTTTGTTAAATCTTGAAAATTCAATGTTTCGTATGCTTTTAAACATCAACACCCAAAACTTCATGATCTTCTACGACTACTTGTTTATGAAAAAAGAAAAACGGTTCAATATTTTTCAAAAATCCTAGTTCGAGCGATACCTATCCACCTACAGGTTAACACGCAATTTGTTTTTTTTTTATTTCAGATTAGCCAGTCTGCCTGAATCATGGACGCCGTTCGCCTACCTTTTTTTTTTTACATGGGTACCATACGAGCGATAAATCTCTCGCGATCCACATTATATTTCTGCTTAAAAAAAATCCAAACTTGCAGTTGAAAGCTGAATAAATGCACACGTGTATAGTAAGAATTTGAAAGCTCTGTGATTTTTTCATTTCGCTATAAAAAAAAATTCCGAGGAAATATTATATATAAAAAAAAAAAAAAAAAAAAAGTCGTCACACGGGATGACTGCGTTAAAAGAATCGAAAGCCGACAGCGGCGAAAATTGCGTGGCGTCGTTTTGAATCCAGTTAGTTAGCGAGTGGTGCAGCGAGAACCGTGAGAGAATCTCTGTGTGTTTTTTTTTTTTTATTTTCTCCTATCCTTTCGTTCGTTTCCGGAATAAACATATTTCATCGTTTCTTTCCTACGTTATTTCCTACGACTGCAGAGTCAAATAATCGTGCGTACTTGAAAAATATTTCAAAAGAAAGTTCCGTTCGCATAGTGGCCAGGCCTGGATATACATATAGTTGCCCGCCTCGAGTCGACTACCGTTGTCGAGCTACGAACGAATTCTGGTCCACTGGCTTGTTGTTGCGACACGCGAAAGGACTGGGGGAGACGAGAAGGTCGCGATCCGCATCGTTATTCACCGTCGATTGTCCCATAGAAAGTCCAAAAACAATCGGTCGAGTGGCGCAACGGTGTTTCTTTGAGCGCGCTTCTTTTGAGCGTCGTCGAAACCTTTTCAGGACGGTCGCTCGCTCGCGCGCAACCATTTTGAGAGGCGCTCGCGCCATGCAACGCAAAAGCAACCTTGACACAATCGCGAGCGAGCGCCTCGACGTGAGAGGATTATGTCTCGCGAGAGCTCTACGAGGCTTATATTTCCACGTCGCTTTCGCGACGTTCCCGCGTTCTTTTCCCATTTTTCGCTCTCCGCTGCACGTTTCTACTTCGCGCCGGCTTCGGAATCGCCGACACAACTCGCGAATACAAACACGACCAAATACTAGACTTTCGGAGGCCGAAAGACACGCTGCTCGTGTACCGTGAGCTTTTTTTCACGGTGTTTTGAAACGCACGCGCGCGCGTTGCTCAACGCGGACTGGATTCAACGGTTGGAAATAAGAACGAATAATCCTGACGAATGATCTGATCGGGACGGTCTTTGAGGCTCGGGATTATTCGAGTGATTTAATAGCGAAATATTCTCTGTATAAATAATAATTCCATTAACGTGGAAAATACACGAGATGATATGGGCACGTCTGAGCCTGGCAGGATAAATAAATGCTAAGAGGTAACACGACGAACAGCTGATCCGCGAGTGAAAGAGGTCAACGCACACGCGTCGAACCACGTTCTTGTATGTTGTCAGAAATAAGACAAAGAGTTGTCAGACAAAGACGGAAACAGTTGGGCATAAATCTGGGGAGAGAACCGAGATCTGAGAAGAATCGAGAAATATGATCACGGTTCACGGGAAAGTTAAGGACAATCGGAAAGCGAGACAATAATTAAAATCTCTTGGTATCCAAATTGTTCTGACGAATGATTATTTCTTTTTCTTTCTTAATTACGCACAATATTTAACTTCACTTAAGTTTCTCTATGCATACCACGATACGGGTATCGGTATCCTAAGATTTCTAAATAATACTCGTCTCTGTAATTCGTTGATTAAGAGCGAAACGTGTTCTAAAAGTCCTCGCGGTTGAAAACGAAAAGCCTCGCGTGAAAAAGACGAAATGCTCGTTAATTTGTCGCGATCGCGACGATGGAAGTGAATCGACGAACGATGACCGTCTCGATGAAAATCGATATACGATTGCGAGCCGTTTGACCCAAATGTTTTCATCGCTTTAACGGACTAGCGAATCAGCGAAAATGTTTCCACGAACCGAAGTTGTGCGCCATTTAGCGTGGGACTCGAAAAGCATGGGAAAATAGAACCAGATCGCAGTCTAATTGATCGGATACGATTTCTTGGAAACAATTTAACGAGACAGGTTCCGAACGAATTGTTATTTTTTTTTTTTTTTTTTTTTTTATCGACCGTTACGACATTACCGTTTCTCAGAAAAAATATATAAACTTAATACACGCGTAATCGCATCCACATCGGGTGATATACCGTCGTGTACACGTATCAAACTCAACGATAATTCATTGAATAGCATATTCGCGTATGGTAAAGGAGCGCGCAAGGAAAAATCGTTTACACGCACAATTCTAACCAGTTTATCTGCCGCATTGGCAAGAATCACTTATTCCTGATCGTGAGATACTGCCTCTTTCAGGGTTAACAAGCACGGGACTCGGAGGATTAATATCCTACAAGAAGAGTGGTATTACCTTAGATACCGTTCAACGAAAATTAACTTTCTTTACAGCTACTAAAGTAAAACCACTTATCCACCAGTTAACTTTGGAAATATGTTAGGTACTGTCTAAAATACAGTCTATTATATATATATATATAGAAAGAATAAAAAAAAGAAAGAATATACAGACTCGTAGAACGGTGAAAAAGAGTTGTATAAATAAGTAGCGAACGCTTCGTTAAAGGAAATAATGTCTGAAAAAAGTTCCGAGTATTTCAATTGTACTTAAAAATCCGCGCCAACTTCTTCCGGTATTTAATAGTGTATCCATAAATTTCGCCAGACGATTTACTTCCGCCTTGCTCGAAATCTGAATCGAGTTCTCGTACGGATCTTCAGACACGAACGCGAATACGTTCTCCGATACATTTCCCCGTGATAATTACGTTTATCGCAATCGCTCGTCCGACGGCGAACGGGCCGGTAGTTAAATAACCGATCGACCGGTGATCGGATCGAAAAGTCAAACGGATACGTTGCAAGAGGAGGAGTCCCGATCGTCCGAATCCGCGAAAATAAAGCGGGAGGAAGAGGCTTGCGCGTCCGTCTAACGAAAAACGAACGACTAAAAGGTGAAACGCGACGGAGGCGGGAAACGATTTCATTATTATTGTACGATTCCGGGACGACGTCTAAAAGATTAAAAAGCCTCAACTCGGAATTTAACGAGACTCGAACCTTCTTATAATTAATTAAGGCAGACGTGACGCCAGTGGAATTGAAGCTTGCGCCGTGGAAAGCTCGTTGTCGCAAACGCTCGTCACCGGGAACTATCCCAATTCGAGGCACTCGCTCGATTTCCGGTCTGCCACGGTGTTTACCAGACTTCAGTTTCGCTAATATCGAAGCCAGATAAATCGTATTCATCGCGTTTGAAAATTACAAGCAGCTCGTTAAGGGGAGAAACCACGTTTGGCTTCCAAGTATCGAGATTCCTTTTTTTTTTTTTTTTTTTACAGAGAAGAATTAATGCCACCGATAGCAGACTCGGGCGAGAAGTTGGTATGGTAGAGAGAACAGCTGATATCTCAAAGAGTTCTATGCGTAATGAATTAAAAATATTACCGAATGTACTTTAAAGTAAGAAATATACACGATACGGCTTACACGAAATGACTAACAGTTTTTCTGGCAAAACGATACGGTCAAATTCAAACTTAGTTCGAAACATAGATTTCGTTAAATCATCAATAGTACCGCTAAGAACGGATCGCGAACACTAAACGATAACGATCACGAAGCGGAACATAATAGAGTAATTACGATGGCTGTTGAGGCTAACTTTCATTTTCGATACCGTCGAATCTAACGTAACGCGAAACAGTGCCAAAAACTTTGCCGCAACTTTTGAGATACGACGCCGTCGGATGAAACACGACCGACGCGACTCCGTATTTTTTGAAAAGTTTGTAAAAGTTATGGAATCGCGCGCCCTGCTGTTTTTTTTTTTTTTTCCGCGAAAAACAGCGACAACGAGGATCGTCGGTCGTTGAAAAAGAATGACGAAAACAAGAGTGGAGAAAGGTTCGTTAATCGTATCCAAACGAGTCGAGGTAGTTGTATGACGCCGTGAAAGCGACGCCGGCGAGTCGGCTCTTTCACTGGCATCGTTGCCAGCGCGACGGTCGTTTCAAAATCTTTGATATCGACCGAAGCGACAAAAAGATCAGGCGCAACGAGCCCTTAGAAAGTTTTTCATAAATTTCATAGTTCCGACAACAATGTTCGGAGAGCTCGTGCTAGAAATATCAGCGAAAACGACGTTATAGCACGCGGGACATGGCGGCAACGTCGGCGTCGAGACTCGCTCGATGAGGTGGCATAAAATTCCCACGGAAATACTTTGGTCGATACGATTAGGAATACGCGAAACGTAAAAATTGTTAATGTTGATAATAAAGGGACGAGAGTAGTAGATCGCGAACTAGTAAATAAAAAACAAGAGTTAATCGAAGCCACCACGTGACGGTAGTTGTGTACGGATAACCGTATAGAGCGAGAGGTGGCCACGTATTTCGAAGCGACCGCTCTCGAAGCTCGTCGTCGATCATGACAATAGAAGAGGGTAAATATACTATCTGGAATTGTAGCTAGTCTCGCGAGGGGGCCATAGGGGTACGTGTACAGCATGCGGTGGTGGTACGAGATGGCAACTGGCGCGCCACGGGTTCATTGTCCCGTGTGGTGCCCGTGGTGGAAGCCCCTCGTTGAAAAGGAGGGCCCGTGTGTCGGGCGTAATATGTCGACGATATACGGGACGGTATTTGCGAACTTACCAGTTGTCCAACTTGATTAGCTCCTCGGGTTTTTTCGTTTTCCGATCGGCCTTGAGTCTGAGGGCCTGCGGATAAAGCTTCAGGACGTGTTCGAATTGACTCGCGGTGCCCTCCGCGAAGAAAGTCGCTGTGTCTTTCACGGAAGCCATTGTGATAACTGAGCTTCGAGGAATGGCCGTTGGGGCGCAGCACCAGCGCCTCCGTGCACTATACCCGTCTCCGTCGTTCCCCCTCGGCTGTCTCTATCTCGCTCCCTCTCCTTCCTCTTCTATCCTCGTCTATCGGTGGTGTCTCGCTTACTTTCCTTCTCCCTCTCTCACTCCTCGGTGCACCCCTACCCGCGCGTACCACGGGAGAGGACCGACCACGCGAGAAATCCTATTTTACCCTCTGCCTCGTTCGAATTCTCTCGGTTTCACCGGCGGCGGTGATACGCGACACACGCGTGGGATGCGTTCACGATCGGCGCACACACAGTTTAGCGGCGAGGGACGAACCGTCGACGGTACCAAGCGGTGAATAAAGCGGACTTGGCTGCCAGTCCCTTTCTCTCGCTCTCGTTCTGTCTCTTTCTGTGCCTGGCTGTTTTTCGATTTTCTCGAAAGGTATTCTTCACGGTTCGAGGAGCAAGTTTTTCGAACGATAGGTTACACCGAGTACCGGGACGTCCACGGTGATGACTGTTGACGCGGTACAGGATGTGGTGCAGAGCTACGAGGTCTCGTGCGTACACTCTCGTAAGGGAAAATCACCGTAGTTGCACGCCGAGAACTCGCCTTCGGACCTCGTTCGACTGTCCCGGGTGGGGAGCGCGACTCGACGTCGCCAATAGGGAGCAGCACTGCTCGGCGTGTTTCGCGCTTCTCTCTTCTGCGCTCGTTCCCCTCTCTCGTCCTCTCTCTTTCTCGTCACGTCCTTCCACCACCCTTATTATTTGTACCGAAAATTTCAACCGTTGCGTACGGGTACGCACGCACGAGGATCGACGCGATATGGGACGACCAAGGGGACCGACGACGACGATACGTTTATACGGCGAATCGTGCTCGAATGGCTAAGAGTCGACGAAAAAAAAAAGGAGAACGTACGAGATCCACAGAGCGGTCGGAACGCAAAGCACCTCCTTTCTCCTTCCGAGAGTAGTACCGTGTTTCCCTCGACGCCAGATCCTTTCCTCCTTTTTCCCTCGCTCCCCGAGAGAGCTTCGTACGAATGCGTGCGGATTCCCCGCCGGATGTCCGCGAAGTATAGACGGTCTTCCCCCACCTCTTAGTATTCGTAGCCGTACACGCACGTATGCACCTATCTCCGAAGGAACTCTCGGAATACACTCGGGTTCTCGCGTACTTCGATCGTCAGCCGCGAGACTATACACGCGAGTTCCGCAGGGTACGTACCCTCTTTTCGCTCTATTTACTCACGAACGTCTCCGATCCTTCCGTTTCTCAGGACACGCTGTACCGATCGCTTCCATATAGACATTCGTACAACTTCGAATAGAGCAGGAAACACGCTCGGGCATCGGCGAATATCCCGCTGACGGTTTCATCGACGACGGTGACGACGAGAAGACGACAAGGACAGCGATCTACGGCTGCTGTCTCTTTCCCTCGCGAGAAATGGCCTCGGTTATGCTGTATCACACGTCCGCCTCCGTACGAATCACCACGTTCGATGGCTGTGTACGCGCGCCTGTTTTCTACACGACTCCTCTCTCGGGCACTTTGTCGTCTGTCTCTGTTTCGACGAGTGTGAGTGCGTGTGCGCGCGCGCGCACTCACGACCGACCGAGCGAAAGAGCGGGCAGACCGAAGCTCGAAGCCTTTGCTCGAAAAACGGGAACACGGAGCAGTGCTGCGCGCTTAGGCAAAGACCACGTATAGTCAATCGCTTGCTTTCCTCTCTATTCTGTATGTTGACTGTAGTGAAACGGGCGACCGACTGAGGGCAGCGCCTTCGCTGCCTTCTGCTCGTCCCCTTTTCCTCTTGCCCCTCGGGACTCGGGGACACGGTGTATTTACCACTACCAAAGCGCCGACCCTATCTCCCCTCCACGCGCGTTTGCTCCCACTCGCTCGGGATTCTCTTTCCTCTATCCCTGATCGTTCTATCTCCCTCTCTCTCTCAACTACACGAAACGAGAGAATGAACGCGACGGATCGGGCCTTTATTATATATATATATATATTTCATACTGAAATATTCGCCGTTTCGACGGCAAGCCGTACGATTTCTCGTGCGACCCTTGGTGGATTCCCACGAGCGACACGGACGCTCGATACCTCCTCTGGAAGGCGCGTACCGTTCGCTCGATCGCGCTGGGTCGTCCGACTGGAAATCGATGCTAAAGTCGGGGTAGAGGCGCGCCAGTGGTGCCGTCCACGGCTGGCACACACCGCGCGCACCGCACACCAATCGAGACCGTTGTGTGCGTCCGTTTCTGCGTGTGCGAACACCGTCGCTCGTTCCGCAAGGTTAAACCGTGTGGGTAGAGACGGGGTTCGTGTACACAAGGCGGAGTTTGTGTGCGACGCGTCACGGCTGCGGGTACGCGTGTGCCAGAAGTGGCTCGAATACGCACGAAAGGGCATACGAAGAGGACAGACTCGCAACCCTTGTGTCACGAACGCGTTGAAAAAGTCTGCGATGTTTGAAAACTCCCGGAAGAATGACGATTGGACTGTTGTACAGCGGAGAAGGGATGAGGAGTCTTTTTTTTTTTTGTTTTCATGCTCGTAGAGGAAGATCACGAGACGGATGCCAGTGCCGTTGCGAAACGAGCGATTTCACAATTTCGTAAACGCGACGACATGCGCCGTACCGCCGTGCTTACGAGTTAACGACGTTCGTTCCACGAACCGGCGGCGAGTCGAAATTCGATTAAGCGCGTTGATCGAGTCGCGTGCATAGAAATTTTATTCTTTACAATATTTCCTGACACGTTTAATTGTCCAGAGAACGGTAAAATGTTCGCGAATGCAAATTCAAAAATTAATCGTATCGAGTAATTCGAATTGTTTCTTCCTTGTTCCTTTGTCTTCGCGAGCCGTTAGCTTTGCATTCCTCCGCTGTTTTCTCGCTAGTGTCCGTGACCGTCGTGCAAAATTGCAAGCAACGGGGAAACTCACGGCTGTTTTTCTTCGAAACTTTTGTTACGTACATGTATTTCGCGCGAGGGTTCGTCCGCTTACGTTGTTTACGTATGCGAGCGAATGGGCGTTCTTTGTGCGCGGCATACGCCAATACCGTCGTACCAGATGCCGTGCTGTGTGTGGAGTACTGGCGTATAATCAGACGCGTGCTGGTGTTGGCGGGTGATACCGGTGTTCGTGTATGTACGCCGCGTGTCGTCGTGAGATCTCGCTTCACCGACCAACCCGTAAGTAGTACCATAGCGAACACCTCACTACCAACGCCAGCGTCACTACCACCGAAGCGCTCCATAGCTGCCAGCCAGCAGTCGGGTGTACTCGTGGAAAGTGGAGAGCGCTTGCGCATCGGTAACTTTCCACTGTCGTTGCTACTGCTCAGCAAGAACGAAGAAACTTACCGAGAATCTTTGCGAAACTTTACAGTCACGAGTTAAAACGTTACACTCTACAATACCAAGAAAAAGGTGAAACACGATCAAACATTTTTCCTTTTCGATATTTTATCCGAGCACGAAGCGGGCACACAAAGACCGTCGCTTCGTTGCTCCGGTTCGGGTTCGATCCGACGCCCGTAGCGCGTTTAAAAGCACGAATTTCATCGCGCATCCCTTATTTTCCGAACCATAACGAGGCTTAAGCTGCTTTCAGAATTTTCATAACGGCTTTGAAATTTATAACGCCCTGTTCTCGCCAGGATTACGAGGATCGCTGTTTACGATGAAAATTTGGAAAATTTAAGGCCGCAGGTTTAAACGAGGAATTTAAAGGTTTGCAGGTATGCGCGCATGGACAATGGTGCAGGTAGTCGGATACCGAGAGGAGTCGGATACCGGGGGCTGTATAAGACTTCCGTTCGTCCACGGTAGTGGTCGGTATTCCTACATGATTTTCTTTACACGTAGCTTGATCGCAGCTGTTAAGAATTACACGATTGTTCATCAACTGGAAATCAAACACGATATATCGTATTGTATTCAGAAATAAAGAAAAGATACAGAAATGAAATTTAATCGAAAACGAAACGCGAGATTACTGGGACGGAAACGAATGGGAAACTGTATACAGCAAAATGCTATCGCAGACGCGAGACTGGCGCGCACTGTTCGACAGATTTCAACAATTAAAATGCTGATACTCTAAAGTATTAAAATGAGAATGTTGAACGATAGAAATATTTTTGTCGCGATTTCGATCGCGTCTGGCGGACGCGAACTCGCTGTTTACGCGATTTTAAATGTCCGTGGGGAGTGGTGGATCGGGTAATTAATACGCGGGGGAATATTCGGTGGTGAGAAACGAACGATTACTGGGACTCAACCCCGTAGGCCTAGAGCGAGTCGCGCGGGTAATATCACGGGGGGGACAGACAGAAGGGGAAGACGAAGAGAAAGGCCGGTTTTCTTCCGAAGCGCTTTAGCAGCCAGGCAACAGAACCAGGCAGCCGGCTATAAGCCCCGCATCATGGCCGTCGACTCACCGTTATGCGCCGAGCATCGGTGAAGCCCTCGTGCCCCCTATACAAAAGAGAGAGGCCCGACCCCCTCTGTCCCTCGGGCGCTTGAAATTCAACCCCGGCACTGCCGGCCGCTGCGGGGTTGCCAGATCGCGTTTGCCAGGACGCGGTGTTGCAACGCTCCGTTATCGATGCTTACCGCACACTCGGACAATAACCTAACCTCAAATTCAGCTGCAGAACGAGCGCGGCTCGGTTTTGTTATCAGCAGCGCCGAACCGCAGAACCAGCCCTCTCTCTAAATTGAATGAGCGGTTTTCAAAAGCTCCGAAACTATCCTTGAATATGCGCCTCCCTTTTACATATTGTCTCGTTCGAACCGGGAATTTATCGTTACTTTTTCTATAGAAATTATTCATGCCATCCCGGTCGCTTAACATTCTCCTTCCCTCGAGTTTCCTGAACGCGTTAAAAAGAGAAAAGAAAAAAAAAAAGAATGTTTAATAAGTAGCATTCCGAAAAAAGAAAAAAAAAAAGAAACAAGATACGGTGAAAGACCGAAAGAATATGCTAATCCAGTTTTACGATGCAGTTTGCATGAATTTAAAGCAACGCCATTGTTTGCAAGATAGCGGACGCGACACAGCGTACATCGCGGAACGTACGGTTCCTATAGATTCTACGTCTTTTACGTTTGTTTCTAAAGAGCGGCCCCGCGACCCGCTAATTATTTGTCGTCAGCAACAGGTCACACTCTCTTTCGTGTCCTACGTTTTACCCGGAAGTTCGTGGCGTGTCCGTAGACTGGTAATAACGTCACGCGCGCGTAGGATCCCGTTCATTGTTTGTTATTCTGCCGCGGATAACAATCGGATGTTTACTTTTCTAATTAACCATTCCCGATGTGCAACCTCTCCGATTCTATACAAACATCCGATCTGATTCCGTGTGTGCGTATTTTTTTCATATCGACGCGCGTACTTGTTTTTTCTGCCGATAATTACAAATATAAATAGCTTTCACGGAAATTCCTTGTTTTCCCGATACTTGGTCGCGACGCGGAAAGAAAAAAAAAAAAAAACAACAACAGGAGACGGTGTTAAAGAGGAAAAGCGTCGTTGAATATTTAGTCCCTGGATTGAAATAATTCAAACGTTACCCTGGGAGATCTGATCTCGTGCTCTACGGGGTCGCGTCTGTCGTGGGAAAACTATTTTTCACTGAGGACGGTTTTCCACGTGAAAAGAAAAAAAAAAGAAGATACTAATACGCACTTTTCCCGTGAAAAATATTAGCTATCACGGTGCCGGCCGAGAACAACCTGAGACAACGATGGTAGAGCAAAGGATTAAAAGGAACGCGTTCCCGAAGTCGAAGGCGTGCGCGAGGTTTAAATGCAGCCGATCTCGGGTGGGTTTTAAAAACGCAACTGCGACGGGAGGAAACAATGACGGAGATCAAGAGGCACCCGTGACTGGCAGTATCGCGGTTGTAACACGCCTCGCATGCGGAGCTATTGCTGCGTTCGATACGAACACGTGTTCCCGATGCGGCTCGTACGCGACACATTGTTTCCGAAGTGACATGTGGGCCACGGTGCAGCAGAACGTATGCGGACGGAGCATAAGGCCAGTTGGCCGAGGGACGGGCGCGGAGCTACGCTTTATCGTGGGTCAATCCGAGCGCTGTGACCTTGAGTAACTCTACACAGAAATATATACATACATACATACATACATACATATATATACATATATATATATATATACATACATACATACATACATACATATATATATATATATATATATATATATATATATATATTGTATATGTACGTATATACGTACATATATTGTACATTTAGCTGTGAGCGGCTCGAGCCGGTCTAGTGCGCAGCTACCTTACCTCTCTCTCTAAACGGAATCTCCACGTAGTAGAGGTTTGCAGCGGCAGATTATTGCGAGCGGGAGCAGGACTGTCCTTTAAATCGAAAGCCGGACCTGCTCCAAAAGCGGCTTTAACGATGGGTCGAAAAAGCATTCGCGCATCCAAATTTGTCTTACTGGCAAACATGTTAAAAGAGATATATCTCGTACTTGGCAGTGAACGGGTCGACGTGCTACCTGTTTAGAATTGTCTTCGACTACATTCTCGATCCACTGTACATAGCGAAGTTTGTTGCTTCATTCAAGGTTGATCCTCCGTCAATTTTTTCGCCGGCCACGTGGACTTTCGAATAGTTTCGCTACGCTCAGGGCCACTCGATCACCTGTCTTTTTATTTTGGAACGTTGTACCGCGAGCGCTAGGTGACGATGACGAGTTCGAAACCAGTTCTCCTTGGGTGCCACCGGAGAGCGAGCTTCAACCGAGTATTCAGGGTTACTCGCCCCAATTTCGGTGAATCTCTCGA